CGACTAAATTGAGTGATTTGTCCAAATTGCAACTACCACCACCACCGCCACCAACACCATCACCACCACCATCGCCACAACCATCACCTGACTTTCCACACTTGTTGTATTGCAGCCCTTGGATTGGCTGCTTGTCCCTTTCTGAAAACTGTATCACATTGTATTTAATAGAGGAATAAAAATGAAGAAAAAAATGTTTGTTTGCAAACCAGTACAGGTTTGAATTCAACTATTTCTCTCTAGTCCCTCATCTGCGCACAATCACTTGTTTAAAATATCTTCTAAGACAGTGAAAAGATTTCAGAGATAAGAAGAACGTCGGACAAAATAAATCTTTTTGGTCAGACAATATAGGCCTTTACAGTTATGTCTGTATGTGTTTATATCTGATGTGGAAATAAATGTGATTGAACCATAGAGGTTAAGTATTAAACTACAACAATGTCTACCAAGTTTAATCCGAGCGAGTGAATAAAATGGGGACAGTGGACGAAGAGGAGGGGGGGGACAAAAGTCAATTCTGAAATTTTCGGTGACCTTCTTTCACGTACAATTTGTCACGCCATGTTGCGTCATCACGATACGACTGAGGGCATGGTTCGGGTCATCACGTAGGTTTGATTGGGTCCAAGGCCACTGGAGTGCGGCAACCAACCTTTTTTTGTTTACACAGTGGTGGAATCATTATTTTGATTGCTACAGCTTCCACCGTTGTCAAGTGACGTTTCCGAATGTGCTTCGATTCGTTTTGGGTTACTTTGTAGATGATTTTGAATGTATCGTTGTCTGGCTGATGCCCGGTATTGGTGAGATGGGCCATAATCGTACTGGTTATTGTCTTCTTGCAATTCGTTCTAAGCCAAGCTGGTTTATGTTCTCTGATTCTTTAGGAGAACTGCCTCATCGTTCGTCCTACATAACTTGCCAAACATGTGAAAGTGAAGGAGTACGTAATCATGAATCAAGATAGGAATGACAGCTTATCCTTGAGGTTTGTGCAGAGCTGAAGCCGGCTTGTAAACATCGAACGCAGAGCGGCGGCCGGATATGTTCGTGCAATAGCTTTCTCCAGACCTCTTCTTAGTAGATCACCACTCGAATCTCCTTTGGACGGCAGCTGCAAGAATGGTTCTTTATTTTTGGCCGTTCTTGGTTCAGGTATTGTGGACTTTTCTACAAGGTTCTTCTCGATGAACTGCTCCGGGTATCCGTTATTAAAGAGTGTAGATTTGGTGAATCTAATTTCTTCCTACACTAGATCCTTGGGGCAGATTATTCGAGTTCTGAAGGTTAGACATTGGACTATGTTTTGTTTTGGTCAGTTGTCTTTCATTACTCTTGAGGGGGTGGGGTGAGGGAGGGAGGGAGGACATCAGTCGAGAACATGCTTCTGCAGCACGGTTTTTTGTTTTCTTGTCTTGTTTACCAAGTATGTGCGTGTGATGGAAAGGAATGGTACACCGGGCCAACATGACATCCGAGTTAGTACATGTGATGCGTGTGCGGAAACAGTGATGTGATTGAACGACGGTCCTTTAACCAACGATATGGTCTAGTACTTTGTATAAAACATGCTCTATTTCTATCGATAAACATTGGCAATTGCTGCTACCAATTCTCCCTATATTCCATTGGTGACCGCAGTTCCGATCGGAGCATTACAGTACGGGTTCTCGTATTCCGATACTGAAAATCATTCTGATGACCACATTAGGTCAGTTATTAATACAGCGGTTTCACACTGAGCCAGGAACAAAGCATTTTCTGAAGGTGACTGAGGTATTCCTCTACCCCCTCGCCCCCCGCCGCCCGTATATCTGACTCGCAGACGACTATGATGATGATGATGATGATGATGATGATGATGATGATGATGATGATGATGATGATGATGATGATGATGATGA